GCTTTGGTTTTAGAAAATTTCCTTCACTTCAGCTATTCAGGCCACCCGAACTCGAATGAATAGTAATAAGGAAAGAAAATTTCATTTACGTCCAGGGTATTTTTAATTTTTATATATTTTCAATGGTTGGTCTCATTTTAATAAGGATAGAAAAAATGTACTTTGTAATTTTTATATATCTCACTTATAATTTTTCTCAAAGTGAGGGCATGCAAATATACCCCTTCAACTTAATGTGGCTCTGCCACTATTGAAAGCCCAAGATATTAGGGCTTGATTTGAATATATCAATTTTTTTTTTTTACATGTGAGGCATTTTAAACGTGATCCAGATAGGCTCATCTTGAATTGGGCCCACCTACCCATGTTACCAGCTCTACCTTTAAAACATGGGTAGGTGTCAATAATAGTTTTTTAAAATAAAGTATGTGAGATGAAGAGTTTTAACTATCTTTAAAATAAAGTAAAATTACTTATAAATTCTTAATACCCTTCTCTAAACACGTTACATATATAATTAATAACATTATTGCCTATATGTTTTAAAATTATCATTATTTGTTCTTTTTACAATTAAACATTTCTTTCGAATATTACCGGAAACCATGAATAGTATTTTTAAACACAAATAGTAATCGTCCTTGTATACATAAATTATAAACTTTAAAATCATTCAATGTCATTAATGTTAACTTGGAGTTCTTAAGTATATCCGTAATAATTTCAACTGTTTTGTGGGAATATTATTTGTCAGTATTTAGATTGTTATATTATAGGACATTCTCAAATGTTTTCTAAAATAATAATTGTAATATGTGATAAAAAAATAAAATAATAATTGTAATAATATAACTTAAATATGCCTTAGATAAAAATAATAGTAATAACATTGATTAAATATCCCTTAGATTAAAAGCGTATTTTGACTATACGACAAACAAAAGCATGCAACGTGAAATGTTTTCAGTTCACTCCTTCACATGTTACCATGAATTTGAAAATAAAAGTTAAAAAAATTTATTTATCCTCATCATTTTTATCTTTATAATCTAAATACGTTAAATAATTTTTATACTTTAATATTTCATACGAGTTTTTAAAATTATATCAGCTTTTCAACAAAAGAAATAAGGGATAATGAACTTTCAGTTTTTCAAGTTTCCTTTAATCATCAATTTGATCACTAAAGTTTAATTTTAATCAATTCAGTCTCTTATATTTTCTTAAATTATTATGTTAGTTATTTTAGTTTTAAAACAAGAACTAACTATCAAATTAATCTCATATATAAAATATATTGATAACTTATAATTTATATACAGCTAAATGAAAATAAATTAACCCTCAAATCAGTTTATTTTTATCTATGTATTGCTTTTTGTTATTTTTCTAAAAAAAATTGAATCTTTTTTCCTATCTAAATAATTACACTTCGTTTTATTAATTTACATAGTTATCATCAATGTTCCCTGATCCATGTTAGCAAATTTTAACCATGTTATTTGTATTATCTACACTTTAAACAATAAAGACCAAATTAATAACTGAAGAAAATATAAGGGACTAAATTGATAAAAATAAATTTAAAATATTAATAATTGAAGCAAACTTAAGGGACTAAAATTTTTATTATAAAAAAATAAATTTTGAATAGACCCTTGACCTTTGTAGCATCCCATCCCACCCGTATCCTTACCGCCTGAATCATATATAAATTTTGAATTTTAAAATCTTTTAAAAAATCATTAATGTTAGTTAACTAGCCTAAAGTATCATTTCTCACTATTTCCTTTGTGCTCGCCGTGCAATTGTTCATTTAGAAAGAAGTGTTGATAGTGATGTGCAATTCACAAGTCTACTCACATATGAATATTGACTTCCAAGTCATTTATCCAATAAAGACTTAACCGTTCAAAGTCTTTACCATTCTATACGTGTGGTTTGAGCATGTGTGTGATGCGAAATGCTTCATGCGTCAATTCCATACAAGTCTTTATACATCAAAGACTTGGTCGTATCCTTTTATTGGTTTGATTTTCCTCCTCCTAATCCTTTCATTGTCTTGTTGTCTAGTTTTTCCACGTTAACGACTTTCTATTTGTGAATACTCAACAAAACCGAGCAGTGATGTCTACTTCACAATCCAATTCACATACAAAAGTTTTAAGAAATATTTTTGGTTCTTGAATTTGTAATTTTATCTTTGCATGTATTTTGCAAAAGTAACATCAAAAATTAAATCTAACGCAGAGAAAAAGAAACGTGCATTGACATACAAATTAAAGTCATTATACAGAAAAGACTTGAATGGTATTGGTGCTTCATTGCTTTGATTTTTCTTCACGTTATCCTTTGCATATCTTTTTGTTTCATTTTTCCACCTAATGGAATGTTACGTTATTCCAACTGTGCCACTTTTTTCCCTATAAATCTCTCATAAATAAAGAAATATCTCCATTATAATTACATTCTAATTAAATAGTTGCTTTTAATGTTTTTCACAGTATTCCATACGCATGGTCTGAAAACACATTTAAGCATGCCATAATTTTAAGAAATAGGATAACAATACCATTTTATCCTTAAACTATATTACAAATTTGAGAATTTAAATTTTAAAAAAAAAGCAGTAGTAATAATAACAATAAGAAAAAATTGTTATTCTATTCCTAAATACAGAAAAGGCCAATAATCATAGCAAATTTCTAACCCTCTCAACGTTATTTCCGGGTCATTCCCTTATCGTTAATTGAGAACTACTCCCTCTAGTCCAAAATATAAGCAATTTTTAAAAAAAATTTGCTTACCAATAATGTCCTCATTATCATAAAATATATATTATTTTCCTTTTTTATCCCTATTCTCAATTACCAATGCATTCTATAATGAGTGAGAGATACATTCACACAAATACCTACGTTAATAAATACAAGGGATAAAAGAGGAAATGTTTGTTTACATATATTAGGTTGTATATATTTTGAACCAATATTAACTAAGAGAAAATGCTTATATTTTAAACCGAGGAAAGTATTTAATTTAATAGTGATAGTGATGTTGACTTACAAGTCATCCAATAAAGACTTAACTGTTCAAAATCTTCACCATTCTATACGTGTTTTTTGAGCATGTGTGAAGGGTTACACATGGGTAGAGTCAAGCTGGGCATTACCCCCTCCCAAGTGCTGCTCAGTATGCAGTTTGAGATAGCTCGATGTCTAAGTGTTTGGGCTAGGTTTAGCTCAATTATTGACCCAAATTTTTTTTTACAAGTTTTTTTAAAAAAAATAAAAAATTTCTTTCATGAAAATATAATTATTATCATTTAAAGTATATTCTTTATGAAATTAATATTAGAATCAAAAGCATTTTTTTTTCAAAATTACATATGATCAATAACTCTCAATTATCTTTAGATAATATTAAGTCAAAAAAATTTTAAATTTTGAAAGAGATTAAAAAATTATAGTGATAAGAAATATCCAAAAACACCATAAAAATTTAATTTATAAAATAAATATTATTCACAGAAAAATATTAAAACAAAAAACGACATGTTCGGACCCAAAGCCCGGCCGATGTGAAGTGAAATGCTTCTTGCATCAATTCAATATCCCTTCTCACATGTCGCAACAAATATATACTCATATATAAATGCAAGTTTTTATATATGAAAGACTCGCTTGTACCTCTTTATATTTCATACATGTCCATGTGTTTATTGATTCATAAGCATTCTTCTCAAGAGGATGAGGGTTACGCACGCATACACTAGATTGATTCTTTACTTAGATAGAAGTTTCTTCCAGGGTATGTACATAAAGTGTGAATTCCAGATGATAGGGCTTAAAACGGATTAATTAAATCTACAAATAAACTTGTTCCCAAATTAAAAATAAACTTCAGTATTAAATGAACTTGAGATTCTGATTTGCTTATTTGATAGTAGTTAAACCTAATACTATTTATAACTTGTCAATGCTTGAGAACTTTTGGGCTATAGGCTACATTATGCCACAAAACATTATATAGAATAGGACAACAATACCATTTTATCCTTAAACTATAAAGTCAGAGAATCTGGGATCTTATTTTAAAAAAACAAAAACAAATGGAGAGTTGAATTTATTTTTTTGTTTTGTCTACATGTATCAACACTTAATTTAAAGGCCATCACCTGAGAATTGAATTGGAAAGCAACATATAATAAGTTGCTTGTACAAATGTTAAACATTGGCTCACAATAAATATATATTAATAGTAATTTGATAATATATACATATTTATATTAATCATCACCAATAAATCATAAATTAATAGTTTTTCAATTAAATATTTATTTGATTTTTAAGAATATTATTTTTTAAAAGGATATAGAAGAGTAAATACTCGTTAACATTTCAATTGTTTGGAGAAGAATGATGGGGCATTGGTGCTGGTTCGAAGTAATTTAGTCATTGTGTGTGTGTGTGTGCGTGCGTGTGTGTGTGAGTAAAATAAAATATGATTATTGTGATTTTCCAGAGCTTGCTCATTACAAGATTATGAATAACAAGTAAAACAACATGAATATTATTGATACAACCAAAGTTAAAAAAAATGGACAATTTTGACGTGAAGCAAGTAAAAGAAGTTGCTAAGTGCGACGCTTATTAACCCTTGTCCTCCTCCTCTTTAGAAGATTGTTCACCATTCTTGCAATCCACTGAGGTTTTCCTGAGAAAATCACAACCCAAAACATTGATGTTCCAAATGAGGCTCCACATATATACCCTAGCAGAATAGGTTTCCATCCAAATTCAAAAAATTCAGCATCAGAACTTGAACTTGGTAATAGTGGTTGACTTTTCTCATGAGTGATGTCGCATGGAGTGTCAAGTTGAAATCCACGCAAGCCGTTGTTTCCTTTGAAGGAATCACTTGAAAATGTCTCAAAATGTGAGACCATAGGAATATATCCTTCAAGCTCGTTTTGTGATAGGTTCAAGTAACCGAGAGAGTCAAGACTTGCCAATTTTAAAGGAATTTTTCCTACAAGCTTGTTTGATGACAAGTCCAAGGATTCCAAGTTCCTCAAATTTTCCCATTGAGCTTGGAATTGCACCAATTAGCCTATTATGTGAAAAATTGAGCACCTTCAATTTGCAAAGCTCTTCAATAACTTTTGGAATTTTTCCTTCGAACATGTTCATGGATACATCAATAGTTGTAAAAACAGTCAAGATCCTTTCTAAATGAACGTCCAATCCTTTCATGGTTACTTCAATGGAGTCTTGATACATAGATTCATAACCCATGTAATGCAAGCCAGGTTCTCTTTCATCAGCATTTCTCATAGCTTCAAAAGATTTGAAGAATGCAGTAGGTAGAAGGCCACTAAAATTGTTGTTCAACAAGTCCAAGACTCTCAATTTTAGGAACGCATGGTTGGTTTCGTCATTGAAACTAGGAATGGAACCATATAACTTATTCTCTCTAAAAACAAGTACTTGCAATTCATGAAGCACTTGAAACCAATGGGGAAAAGTATCTTCTATGTTGTTCCTACCAAGATCTAAGACTTTCAATTTTGTGCAATTGACCAGAGATCGAGGAAATGACCCTTCCAATAGGTTGCCATTAAGATTTAAGGTCTTCAAATTGTTTCCCTTTTCAAATGATTGAGGTATGCTTCCAGAAAATCTATTCATTTGCAAATCCAACATAGAAAGAGCAAGGCTAAAGCTACCGGTGTAGTGAGGAATGGTGCCAGTAAATTTGTTATGGGACAAGTTCAAAACTTCAAGTGAGTTGCTAATGCAGTGTGGAATGGTACTGGTGAAGTAGTTATGGGACAAGCTTAGAAATTCAAGTGAGGTAGCATAGCAAATAGAAGAAGTTAGCTCTCCTTGAAGTGAGTTGTTCCTCAAGTCAAGGAACTTCATGTTTTTCCATGAGAAGTTGTGCCATTGAATACCTCCTGTGAGAAAGTTGTGAGAAAGGTTTAGATATGTAAGGTTTTTAAGGGAAAAAAGTGTCCTTGGAATTGAACTTGATAATTTGTTATCAGACACATCAAGATATTTCAATGAATAAGAGGATATTTCACCTATTTGGCCTGTGAATTGGTTGGAAGAAATATATAAATTCTCCAAAGATGGCAGAAGAAAACACCAAGATGGAATTGTTCCATTCAATTGGTTATGTGACAAGTCTAAATACCTTAAAAGTGTAATGTTCTCAAGGAAAAACTTTGACCTAGTAATTGGACTCAATAAATTGTTGTAAGACACATCAAACGATACCAATGGATAAGAGGATATTTCAGCTATTTGAACTGTGAGTTGGTTAGAAGAAATATCCAAAAACTCCAAAGATGGTAGAGTAAAATGCCTAGAAGGAATTGTTCCATTCAACTGGCTATGTGATAAAACTAAATCCCTTAACAATGGCAATCTAGCCATTTCATTTGGAAGATGTCCAGAAAAGTTGTTGTCAGAGAGTTGCATATAAGTAAGATGTGTAAGGTTCAAAAAAGATGATGGAAGTTCTCCCTTGAATTGGTTTGAAGAGAGATCCAGAGAATATAATGATTTCATATGGCCAATGCAATAAGGCAACTCTCCTGTGAAATTCGCATCGATGAGAATCAAATGTCTAATGGAATTGCTGCAATTAGACCTTGAAAGATAGCCTGTGAGGTTTTTGTTATCACCCAAATGTATCTCCTGAAGTTAGGGAAAAGAAAAGAGTTTATCTTCAATATTCCCTTGCAATCTAGCTTGCCAAAGTGTAAGAGAGACCAAAGAAGAGGAAAGATTGTTGAATAAATGACTCACTAGTATTGATGACATATCTACACCCTCTAGATCAAGATTCTCAATATGAGTGACATTTGTTTTAAATCTTTCCCAAGTGTTTTGGACTAAGACTCAAATCCTCCTTAAGATAAAGTGAAACCAATTTGTGGAGGTGAGAAATTTGAGATGGAACTTCACCTGAAAAATTAGAATACATCAAGGATAAGTGTGTCAAACTTACAAGTTGTGAAACGTTGGCTGATATGTAAGACCCCTGAAAGTCATTGCCATTGAGGTCAAGCCTCTGAAGATGGGTAAGGTGGAAAGAGTGCTATTGGGAAGGAGTTTACCATGAAGCCAACTACAATTAAGATTGAGGTCGATTACTTGACCCAATGGATTGCAAGTGACCCCATCCCATGAGCAACAATTTGTACCATTTTTCCAAGCTGATGTCTTGGGGTGTGAAATGGTTTCATAAAAATCACAAAGTTCAAAAGCCAAAGAAGAAGGATCGGGTTTTCTAATGGAAAATGAGTTCTTGAAGTGTAGCAAAGCTAAGCTTTGGTCAGTACGACATGATGGAAGAGCAAATGAGGAGTAAGAGAGAGAGTGCAAGAGAGAGAGTTGGAGACAGAGAACGAAACACAATGATGTCAATAACCTCCTCATTTGTGACTGACAATATAATTCTGGTTGATTTCTATAAGCTGTGAAGAGAAGTACCTATATTTATAGCTAAAGGGAAAATGCCTTGAAATTTTTAAATTTCAATTGTGGCATAAACTCAATTGTTAATGAATTTTCAATTTTATAACATATAGAAAATCTTATATGCTATGTGAGAAAATTACAAAATGATATATTACATATTTTAATTAAATACTTCATATATGGAAGTATATTAGCATATTTATAATTTTCATCTCTATTACTATCCTATAAGACTAAACCGTTCAAAGTCTTATTTGCCTTGTTAATGATATTAAGTATTTCCATTGGTAAAATAAAACCGTTCAAAATCTTCACTACGCGTGGTTTGAGCATAAGAGGGAGATAAAATTGGGAGAAAAATAACATGTGTAGCCCACATACTTTCTCCCAACTTTTCTCTCAAAAAGTAGATTTTGAAGATTAAAATATCCTTTCAAATTTGTCCATAATTTTTCGTTTCTTGCCCTACTTGCTCCTTCCATTTTAGTCTCACTTCTCCTCCATTTTAATTAGAGTACTGAATTTGGCAATCTCCGATTCTAAGCGGAATTAGTTTTATCTTTGTCTTGAGGTATTAAATATTTTATAAATGATAAGATTATCATCATCATCATCATCATTATTATTATTATCCATATGAAATTAACCACTATTGCCACTGATCTCATGTTTTCTCTCACCTAGCCAAGCATAAGTATCAAATTATGTCCGTACTTACCATATGGATCATAAATTTTAGATTTTAAATTCTTAAAAACTAAATTAATGTTAACAAGCCTTAAGTATAATTTCTGTCGCCTTTAATTCCTTTGTATCGAAGTCATACAGTTGTTGAATTAAAAAGAAGTGTACATATTGATGTGCAATCATAAGTCTTTTCACATATGAACATAGTCATTGTCCTATATAGACCGTTCCTTGGGCCACAATGAATAAATAAATATTATAAATTAAACCGGTCAAATTCTCCATCGCCATTCTATATACCTGGTTTATGGGAGATATTATATAATAGGTGAAATGGAATGAATTACTCCGTCAAAAAATATTTTTTAATTAAATTTTACTTCTTTATAAGATATTTATTTATCTTTAAATTAATACTATTTTTTTATATTTATTTCTATTGAATATGATATTTCACTCTAAAATAAATATAAAATAATTTATTCATTGATAAAAGACAATGATCAACAGTCAAAGGTCAACTAACACTTCAGCAGGATTGAAATAGAACTTTAAAAATAGCAGGCATGCTTGTATTTTGTAATTATTTATAATAGGGGAAGTCATATAGGTAAACGCTAGGGTATTTTACTGTACTCTTTAAATTAATATCACATAAAACTAATAACAAAAGTTAATTTACACTCATGTAATTTTGCAATTTTTATTAACATTTATAAATGTATATGAATCTTCTTTTAAACTCTTTAGTGCAAGTTTTAGTTTAATACTAGAAATGTTTTTCATTTTTAATAAAACTAACGGGGGACGTGTTTTGTTCTTGGCCTAACACACGCGTAAATTTGTACGGAGATGACTTTTGTGGCGTGGCCACATTGTATTGAGAAGAATGTGACTTGTTGCTTCGTTATTTCATGTAAACGATTTTCAACTAATGTCTCTATGTATTTTCATACTTAAAGGTTTTTTTTTTAAATGCATTTTTTTATCCAAACAATTCAAATACTATAATATACATTTTAAAATAAATATATAGTTATGTTGAAAGAAATGTCTATATTTAATACTTGACCATACTTCGAATAAGATTATCTCCTATAGAAAAATACATCTTAGCAATAAAAAAAGAATAATATATATATTTTTGAATATTTTAATAAGTGATAAAATTTATATACCTTTTATGGGTTGCATATACAGTGATTTGATCAAAGAAACATCAATTTCACGAATGAAAACAAGATTGATTAGGATTTGTGAAAAAGAAAGGAAGGAAGGAAGGGGATTCGAACATGTTTTGTAAAACCAGAGCTTCCAAAGTTGCAGGCATGTGTTGTAAAACCAGAGCTTCCAAAATTGCAGGCGTAGTTTGTCTATTTGATTAATAATTTAAAGGATTTTAATCCTATGAAGTATCTCTGAATTTTCATGAAATCTGTCTTTGTATAAAAGAAGGAGAATATTTTATATTTTATAGAAATAATAAAATACAAAAATTGCTAACAAAGAGAACTCCGCAACAATTCATGAATCACAAACTTTAAAAAATTTAAATCATAATTCCAGCATATAGAGTTGAGAGTAGGAACGAGAAAAAAATAGAACATTGTTCATAATTTTACATGACTAGTAAACTCATATTAATATGTTATGAAATTAAAGTAGGAGTGAACATGAATCAATGTAAGAATTATAGTAAAGTTAGGTTTAAAAATTAATATAAAATACTGAAAAAATTAAAATCCCATAAACGTGACCCAATTTTATCTTATATTAGAAATAAAAAGCAAATCAACTCTTTTCAACCCTTATAATGAATGTATACCGTGAATCAGTTATATTTAAATGAAAAGTAAGTCAATACCGCGTGAGGAGCACCCCAAATTTGTGACTACGTACGGCCGATTCATTGAAAATCATATTCATCATTCCGCATGCCTGAATTTGTACGGCAAGTGCCGCCTCAAAGAAGTGCGCAATATTACTTTTCTAGACGCCTAATTTGACAATGTGACCCTTTTTTTTAAAAAAAAAAAAAAACCTCAAATGTGCTCATATTACTACCAGAAAACGAAACAAAACGTCAAAGAAACATCCAGCAAAGGTCTGAAAACGGAGAAAAGAAAAGACATAACCACCAAGACAAGGAAATAAACATAAAAAAAAAAATCTAATAGGAAAATAAATATGTTTCTAAATTAAATATCAACAGTGTAAATATATATTTTATATACTCTCTCCAGTTTAAAAATGTAAAGTATTTTTAATCAAAATTACCTTTTAATAAAGAAATTATCTACTTTTATATTAACTTTATCTTTTTATATTTATTCCTTTAAATACTTTACAATAAATATGAAGTCATTCATCAATAGGTGTACTTTTGAAAAAAAAAGGTAATAATTATATTTTAAAAGATTAAAAATATCTTATATTTTTTAACATTCAACTCTTCAAAAAATATTTTATATTTTTGAATAGAAGGAGAATATTATATTGGTTGCTTTAATTTAAATGGTTCGGCAAACTTGTTCTCTGAAAGTAAGATCTTGAATGCAAATCTTATAAATAGAGAAAACTTCTGCTAGAGGGAGCGCCGTACCCATGTGGTCCTTTCTCAATATATATGAATCAGCTACAGGACACAAAATGATTTTCGCAAACTGATAATTATGGGGTGTGAGTTTGAGCTTGATTAATATTATATCTTTATAATGATGTAATTCAATATTTTAAAGAATCTTCAGTTAATTTCAATTTGAAATAAAGGAGGAGCTCATTTCAAAATATCAGCTTATTAGATGGGAGTTGGGTGTTTTGAACTTATAAACCTCACTTACTTGTAAGGCCCTTGATATGAGATTCAACATGTTTGTATTCATATATGCATGTTTCATGCCTTACGTCTGATTTCTTTTTTTTAAAAAATTATATAGTCAATCCCGACTCTTACACTTTGGGCTTTTTGGCAAGCTCAAATATTCAAATAATTAAATATTATTTTATTTTTAATTTTTTAATTAATTTCAATTTTCATCTTAAAAAAATTAAGATTTTCAATTTTTTATCTAATTTTACTTTTAGTTTATTAATAATAAAAAAATTTGGGCTTTCAAACTTGACTTGAATCTCTTTGAACTTACACCCATATAAGACCAAAGTAAAGAAAATCTCGCAAACTCTTATGTCTGACTCTAAATTTTTTTTTAAGTTTGTTCAAGCTGGCTCATTTAAGATTGTCTAATTTATTGTCTAGCCCAAAAATGACAAAAGAAATCGATATATTTTATCATTCTTATTGACTAAGAAAAACAATAATTTTTAGTGACTATGGTAATAAAAATAAAAAAATGATTGTGACCAACAACTATTTTACTTTTGTTAGAGCTTATGATATTAAAAATAAAAAATGATTGTGGCCTCGCCAAATTTTCCAACCCTCTCGACGTCATTTCGAGTTCATTCGCCAATATATTATCAGTGAATACTTAATTTAATGGGAGAATAACGAAAAAATACTTTCAAAATATTCAAATCACAGTTAAATAATGTAAAATGTGATAATGTAACATGTGTGACTCACTTTTTTTTTTCCCAACTTTTCTTTCCAAAAAGAAGGAGATTTTGAAGAGAAAAATCTTCTTCCAAGTCTGTCCATAATCGTTTTGGTTACTTGCCCTACCTGCTCCTTCCATATTTTCGTCTGACTTCTCCTCCATCTTAATTAGATTATTATATTTGGCTATCTCCAATTCTAAGGGGAATCAGTTTCATCTTGGTCTTAAGGTATTAAATATTTTTCTATAAATAATAGGATTACTATTGTCAATATGAAATTAATCACTTTTGTTTTTCCTAAGTTTTCTCTTATACAGCCAGGCATAAGTATAGAAAATTACATCCCTTTACCTTTGATCTTTTCTCTCCATTTTCTCTCTTTTTATTTTCTCTTCCTCCCAACATTTACAACCCTTATTACAAGCAAATTTAAAAAATTAGTGTAAATAAATTCTTATTGTTTTATAGCATTCTCATACTGCTTATATTAAACTAGCAAGGAAATCCTACTCCACCACCACCACCAAAAACAAAATTTTATTTAGATACATTTTTAGAATTTAAAATTATGTCCGTACTTACCATATGAATCATATTAAATTTTAAAATCTTTAAAAAAGACGTCAATGTTAACAAGCTTTAAGTATCATTTCTCTCTCCCTTAATTCCTTTATATTAAAAAACGTACAGTTGTTGAATTAAAAACAAGTGTTCATATTGATGTGCAATTCACAAGACTTTTCACATATGAACATTGACTTACAAGTCGTTATCCTATAAAGACTATAAAACGTTCCCTGGCCCAAAAATAAATAAATAAATGAAGACTATAAATCAGTTAAATTCTTCACCATTCTACACGCCAGCCGGTCTGGGCAATATTACATATGTAATAGGTGGAATGGAGTGAATTATAAGTTATAACTTCATTTTACTTTAATATTACCTTCAGGAAAAACAGAACTATTAATTCCTATAATTTTATCAAATTTTGCTTTTAACTTTTGTTGTTTTTATTTTGTGTTTTTAGTCCTTAATTATAAAGACTGAAAATATTGAAAATATTAAAATTATAGAGACTTGAGTAATAAATATTGTCAGAAACTAAAAGTAAAACTCAAATGAACTTATAGAAACTGATGATGATTATGTTTTCCCTTACCTTTATAAGCAATTTAAAAAAAATAGTGTAAAATAAATTCTTATTGTTATAGCTTTCTCACTGCATATTAACAAACCTCCTCTGCCACCAACAACAAACATAAATTTTATTGATATACATTGTTTTTCAAATTGAAGATCGTCTAAATCAAATAGCCAAAGTGATCGCTAACATTTTAAAAACCATTTTTAATTCTACCTGAAATTATAATTTGATATTAGCATAAATTTTACAAAAAAATAACATCAAAATAAACTCTTGTTTGAAGGGGCATCAAAAGACCTCAGCAATGTTGGAAAAAACAAAGAAAGAAAGAAAGAAAAGCACAGAGAAAAAGAAACATGCATTGACCGACAAAATTAAAGTCATTATATATACAGAAAAGACTTTATGTAGAAACATTGACTTGCAAGTCATCAATATAGAGAACACTTTATTTTTCTTCTCATAGTCCGTTCATTGTCATGTTCTTTGCCATGGAAACGTCTTTCTAATTAATTAGCCCTTATTAGATCGGAGGAGAAATAATCTCTATTAAATAGGTAATGTTCTTTTAAATTTTTAAGCAAGAGTACAGAAAAGGCCACTCAATGTAAAGGAATACAATTATACAACAAGGCATGAAATGCAAATTGAAAATAATACTGTTACTAACAGGTGGCATGAATAATTATGCTTTGATTGATTAGGAGATAAAATTGAAGAAAAAAATGGAGAGAAGAAAAAATAAAGATAAAATATTTTCTCTGATTATGTTTAGAAATATAAGAGAAAAAAATGACTACATCCATAAGAATAGTAATATCCACATGATATGGATAAGACATGGACAACTTGCCTCTCTCTAACTCTCTTGGTAAACAAAACTTGCCTTTTTTTCTTTTTATTGTAATTCTATTCAAAGTATGGTAGGACACCAAATGTAGGCAACTGTTTCAGCAAAGATTTGAATCTTGATTCACTATATTGTGAGAAACTAACTCATTTTACTAGACTCAACTAATTTTAGAATGCCAACAAAGTCTAACATGGATTCTTAAATATTTGCAAGTTCAAACTCAACTTTTGACACTCCATTAGGATATATTTGCAATCTATTTTTTAATTTTAACAAAAAATAAATGTTCATCTTTAATATTAAAAAGTATTAAATCTAATAGGTTGAATAATTTGCAAGTTGGGTTTTTAGTTTTAGAAATTCATTGTAATGAATTTATAACTTATTTTTTAAATTTTAATAGGAAGCACTAATGTTCATATTTAATTTTGAAAAATATTAAGTTTATTGCTTATTCTTTGCCTATTGTCTATATATCAATAAAATAAATAAATCCTTTATTTCTTTATTACCTATTATTTATTCTTCAATCTTATTGGAGATGTTAGACTTATTATCACTAAAGGACTAAGGAAATTTGTTTGCACTCTAAAATAGGTTGGGACTTAACTTAAGTTAATTGTTCCTCTTGGGATCTAACTATCATTCTTCCTTAAATAAAAATCATATTTTTAAAGGCATGTCTGAAATATTATTTTAGCCAATATATATAAATTTTAAAAAAGTTACTGAATAATTAGGTTTATGTAACTAAAAAATTTAAAATATCAATAAAAGGAAAAATGTTTGCATTAATTTTTTTGGATAATTTAAATTATTTTTAAATAACATTTATATTTAAAAATAATATTTTAGTCTAACATATGTGATTTAACAGTCAAGGATCAACTAACATTTGAGTGGATGGAAACAGAATTTTAAAAATAGAGGAAATGCTTGTATTTTGTAACCATTTATAATATGAGAGGTCATGTAAGTTTTAAAAATAGAAGAAATATGTCTGTAATTTAAATAAAATACAAAGAACACCAGAGTATTTTACTGTACTCTTTAAATTAATATTACATAAAATTAATAAAAAATTAAATTTACATTCATGTGATTGTGCAATTTTTATTAACATTTATAAATTTTTATGGATCTTCTTTAAAACTATTTTGTGTAAGTTCTAGTTTAATACTAAGAATGTTTCCACTTTTAGTAAAACTAAACTGGTCACGTGTTTTGTTCATGGCGTAAAACACGCGTAAACTTGTACGGAGATGACTTTTGTGGCCACATTGTACTGAGAAGAATGATGGTGCTCACAATTAATTTTTTTGATTTTTTCCTACCCCAGCCTAATCATTTCAATGTGACTCGTTGCTTCGTTATTCCGCGAAAACGTTTTCAAACATGCGTATGAAAAAGTAAAAAAGTTAATACTTGCCCAACACGCTCTCAATGAGAAGCTTGATGCAATGATTTTGAGTGCAGAAATTAATTGCTCTTCCTCGTAAAGATATGTATTATTTTAATGTAAACATTGGCTCACAATAATTATATATTACTACTAATTTGATAATATATATTAGTTATCACAAATAAATCATAAATTAATATTTTTATATGTTAAGCAGTTATTTATTTTTTAAGCATATTATTATTTTTTAAAGGATACAAGAAAACATTCGTCAATATTTCAATCGGATGGAGAAGAATAATGGTGCATTGCTCCTGCTGGTTCAAAGTAATTTAGTCATTTTTTTGGGTCCATATTTCAAAAAAATTTTGAAAAAATTAATTTCAGGTCATCATAAGCAGAATAAAAAAATGATGTGGATTTTCCTGAACTCACTCGTTACAAGATTATTGAAAACAAGTAAAACAGCACGAATATTATTAATTATTATATAATACAACCAAAATATAAAGGACAATTTTGACATGAACAAAGTACAAAATGCTCCTAAGTGCAACGCCTGTTAACCCTTGTCCTCCACTTCCTTATAAGATTATTCACCATACTTGGAATGCACTGAGGTTTTCCTAAGAAAATCATAACCCAAAACATGGATGCTCCGAATGAGGTTCCACATATATACCCTAATAGAATAGGTTTCCATCCAAATTCAAAAAACATGGCATCAAAACTTGAACTTGGTAGTGGCGGTTCACTTTTCTCATGAGTGACGCATGGAATGTGAAGTTGAAATCCACGCAAGGCCTTATTTCCTTTAAAGGAATCAAGTGAGAATGTTTCAAAATGTGGGACCATAGGAATGCATCCTTCAAGCTCATTTTGTGATAGGTTCAGGTACCCAAGAGAGTCTAGACTTGCCAATTGTGGAGGAATTTTTCCTCTGAGCTTGTTTGATGATAAGTCCAAGGATTCCAAATTCCTCAAATTTCCAATTGAGCTTGGAATTGCACCATTGAGCCGATTATGTGAAAAATTGATTGCCTTCAATGCGCCAAGCTCTCCAATAACTTGTGGCAGTTTTCCTTCGAACATGTTGTTGGATACATCAATTGTTGTAAAAACAGTCAAGATCTTTTCAAAATGAATGTATAATCCTTTCACTGTTACCTCAATGGAGTCTTCATAATGTGCTCTACTGTTGTATTTATCATAACCCATGTAATGCAAACCATATTCTCCTTCATCTGCATTTCTCATAGCTTTAAAAGATTTGAAAAATGTTGCAGGTAGAGGACCACTAAAATTATTATTAGACAGATCCAAAACTCTCAACTTTGGGAAGGCAAGCTTGGCTTCATCCATGAAACTAGGAATCAAACCGTGCAACTTATTCTGTCTAAGAACAAGTACTTGCAATTCTTGAAGAGCATGAAGCCAATGAGGAAAAGCATCCTCTATGCCATTTCTACCAAGATCTAAAACTTTCAATTTTGTGCAATTGACCAAAGATCGAGGAAATGACCCTCCCAAAAGGTTGCCATTAAGATTTAGGGTCCTCAAATTGTTGCCTTCTTCAAATGATTCAGGTATGCTGCCAGAGAATTTATTCATTTGCAAATCCAACACAGAAAGAGCAAGGCTAGAGCTACCGATGTAGTGAGGAATGGTGCCAGTGAATTTGTTATGAGACAAGTTCAAAATTTCAAGTGAGCTACTGATGCAGTGTGGAATGGTGCCGGTGAAGCAGTTATGGGACAAGCTTAGAAATCCAAGTGAGGTAGCATTGCAAATAGAAGCAGTAGGTTCTCCTTGAAGGGAGTTGTTACTCAAGTCTAAGTACAACATATATTTCAATGACATGTGATGCAACAGCACACTTCCTGTGAAAAAGTTGTGAGAAAGGTCGAGATAAATAAAGTTTTTTTGGGAAAAAATTGACCTTGGAATTGGACCAGACAACTTGTTATCAGATACATTAAGAAATTCCAATGAATAAGAGGATATTTCACCCATTTGACCTGTGAATTGGTTAGAAGAAATGTCCAACGACTCCAAAGATGGTAGAGTAAAAACCCAAGAAGGAATTGCTCCATTCAATAGATTATTAGACAAGTACAAACATTGTAAAAGTGGAAATACAGTTATTTGATTTGGAAGATGTCCTTGGAAGCCATTTTCATCCAAACCTACATACTCGAGATTTTTAAGTTTTGAAATTGAAGATGGAAATGGACCATTGAAATTATTCGAGGATAGACTTAAACGAGTGAGGTTTTGAAGATTTGAAAGTGATGGTGAGATTTGACCAACAAAATCGTTGTCAGAGAGTTCTAACTCAATAATTTGTGTGTGGTTCCAAAATGATTTCGGAATTTCCCCCGTAAATTGGCATGATGCGAGATTTAATTCCTGGAGGGAATTACTCCAATTAGATTTTGGAAGACAGCCTGTGAGATTTTTGTTAAATAACAAACCTATCTCCTGAATATGTGGAAAAGAAAAGATTTCATCTCCCAAATGCCCTTGCAATCCAGCTTCAGCAATACTGAGAGAGATCAAGGAAGATGAAAGATTCTTGAATAAATGGGTTGGTGATATTGATGACATATCCACACCTTCCAACCAAATATCCTCTATATGAGTGGCATTTTTTAGGAGTCTCTCCCAAGTGTTTGGTTTAAAACTTACAGGATAAAAAAGATAAAGTGAAACCAATTTATTTAAATAAGAAATTTGAGCTGGAACTTCACCAGAAAAGCCAAGACCCAGACGTAAGTGGGTCAAACTTACAAACTGTGAGAAGTTGGATAATAACTGAGACCCTTTAAAGTCATTCCCAGCTAGGTCAAGTCTCTGGAGATGGGTAAGGCGGAAGAGACTATTGTCGGGAAGAATTTTATCCTGAAGGCGACTACAATTAAGGTTGAGACTAATTACGTGACCTAATAGATTGCAAGTGACCCCATCCCACAAGCAACAATTTGTACCATTTCTCCAAGATGATGTCTTGGAGTATGGAATGATATTATCGTCCTCACAACCAATAAAGATATAGTAAGACTCAAAAAGGGATCAGAATCGAGTTTTATAATGGAAAATGAGTTTTTGAAATGGAGCAGAGCAGAACTTTGGTCGGGGCGGCATAATGGAAAACTGAGGGAAGAAGAAAAGGAGTGCATGAGAAAGAGTTGGAGACAGAGAACTGAAGAAAGTGAGAACCACGCCATGTGAAACTACTAACTCTTCAAAGACTTCAAACTGTATTGAGTACTGATTTTTGAAGAGTTGAAGCACTCTAATTTTTGAAGAGTTCTTTCTTTAATATATCTGTTTTATTCTGAATATTGCTGAGAAATTCCGCATTTGAACGATCTCCACCCCTTCTCCTTCCTTGTAAGGTCTCCAAAAGAAAAGAAAAAAAAAATAGTTTTTAATATATGCTATTGGAAAATATAAACGATTATTCGGGAGCATTATTTCTAAGAAGTAATATAACTAATTAATAAACCATTATTTCTAGCCCCTCTCAGATATTATTCTGGACATTACCAAATTGATCGCTGAAGTTTTTAAAATTCTTCGGGAACTTTTTCCTTAAAAAAAAAAACACACACACACACACTCTTGGTGGTGCCTTTTATTGCTTTGATTGTTTCTTCTCCTAGTACTTTCGATTTTCCACAAAAATGTCTACATAATTAGCCCAAATTAGAATTTAGAAGACAATATATTAATAACATAACAATTTTTCTTAAGAAATTTTTAACGAATTATATTTTCTTAAGAAATTTGGAAGAATTGGATATTCATTATGTAACTATTCCCATTTTTATTTAAGAATATGTATTTTAAAATGATAATTACAATAATATAAATTAAATATCCCTTAAAAATAACTTATATTTGATTCTAATATAAATGCTTCCAAGATTTTTACTATTCTTTTTTTTTGGTAAGTATAGAGAATAGACTCCACTAACAGCAGAAATTATCTTCCACGAGATATTGGGGACAAAAAGTAGTGACAATAAGTATGTTTGTGAAGAAAGAAAAGGCCTGTTGCGGCAAAATTTCAACTCTCACAAAATAAAAAATTACTAATTTATTTATTATAGTGAAAAAGCATTTTAATTATTTATTGAACAACATGAAAAATGAAAATCCTATTTATAACCTTAACTCTGAAATTTATAATTCAAATTTTTATATTTACAAATAAAACGTCATCATATATTTTAATTACTTCCAAGTCTTTCACAAGTCTACTCGCATACTGATACTGACTTACAACTCTTTCACAAGTCGGCTCGCCTACTAACATTGACTTATTTTTAAATTCAGACGATATTAATGGTTCCATATTCGTTTTTCTTCACCTAATCCTTTTAAATGTGAGATGCCAAATTTTCATGTGTCTAATAATCAGTGCCCCTATCCAATGTCGCAATAAATAAGAAAATACTCAGGCCTTTATATATTTATATAAGATATTTGAGTTTAATATAAAACATTTATGTATTTTCATTATATATATAACTATTTTATGTTAAAAAAAAAAGTTTAAGTGGGTTGATACCGGCCTTCCAAAGACTTATCAGAGCAAAGGCTAATCCTTTCAAATTTTATATTACATATTTGAGTTTTTATATTATATATCATACTTTAAAAAAAACAAATTAATTCATATGTAAAAAATTTCTTAAGTCTGCTAATGAAAAAAGAAAAAGCCAATTTTCTAACCCTTTCATAATTTTGTTTTCAATTCACAAAATTTCTCAGAAAAAAGCAATGATTTCCAAGTCCGAGGCGAAAGAAATTAAGAAAAGAAAAACTTTGACTTCCAAGTTAACGTGGAATTCCACAAGAAGCTAATGAAACGCAGTTTATTTATATATTCGTTATTTTAACTTTATATTTAAAACTTAAATATACTAAATAAATATTTTTTTGTAATTTAAGGTCGCGTATATTATTTTTAGAAAATTATAATTTTTTAAAAAACTAATATACAAGATCTAAAATATATATTAATAAGTCTATTTGTGAAGAAAGAAAAGGCCAGTCCTAGAAAAATTTCTAACCCTCAGAAAACGTTAACCCGGCCATGATTCGGAATTATTTAGTATAACTTTAGAACCAACATTAGCAAAATAACTTTAGAACCAACATTAGCAAAATAACTTTAGAACCAACATTAGCAAAATACATAAGCAAGCGTCCGTGTGTGTATAATAATGCGATCATTAATAATTTAAATTCCGAAGAACCATTCTTTTGTTTGGAAAAAAAAAATCTTGTAGTGAAAATTTTAAGTTAGTTATTCATTAGTTATCAAGATGTTTTCACCAATTCCTGAGATTAGACCAAATTATAAACTAAAAGACAATACGATCTCTATTAAAAACTTGGTTCCTCTATGTACTTGGGTGAGCTAATTATTTCAAATCCATGCGTGTTTCAGATATACGAACGTAACCCAATCTTTCTAGTTATCCTTTTATAATTTTATTAAAGAATATAAATTACATTCTAATAAGTGCATTTTAATTAAGAGAAGGAGAAGAAATTTTAACATGTAAATTACATTTCTTAATTAAAAATATGACCTACTCTGAATTGAAGCCTTCTCTCTCGGTCTGGCTGCTTCGTCGATTATTCCATCACCACTAACTACTCTTTTTGAGTTCAACAATTTCATGATTGAGAGGATATCTTGCTTCAAGGTGGGAGGATCATGCAATGTCTCTTGTTCGACTTACAAGTTTGGTGGTTGAGATTTTGCATATATATCCAAAACACAATGTATAATAATTATTATCGTTTCTCTCATATTCTTATCCCATTCTCTTAATATAATTGGAGAGGTACATTATGGAAAATTAATTATATTAGAAATAAAAGGTTAAATTATACTTTTAATCCTTTAAACTTTATAAAAGATTTTATTTTGGTTCCTTAAATTTATAAAATATATTTCCAGTCATTTAACTTTAATACCGTTAGTTTTATCAAAAATTTTTTACATTAAATTTATAAATATTAATAAAATATTCTCAAATATTGATCTTTTAAATTTAATTTTTTTAATAAAAAATAATTGGCACAAAAAAAATCATTTGAACTAACAGTATTAGGGTTAAAAGATTAAAAATATAATTTATAAAATTAACATAAATTAACATACTAAATTAAAATCTTATATAATTAAATTAAGAAGATCAAAAATATGCTTTAGTTGTAATGAAAAGCAAATCAAGTCCACGTGAGGAGCACGAACACGGCCAAATCTGTGGTGATGTCCTGTACATTCCGTAGTCAGGTATAATTGCATACCTCCAAACCAAATTTAAAGCATCTTTTAAAAGCTTTGCTTAATTCAGTATATAAGGTATTAGATAATTTTTATAATATTTTTTTAATTATATTCCTACTTCATTTATTATTTTTTTGAGAAAAAATGATGCTTTGGAATTTTCATTAATTATCATTATCAATGCACTTATATAGGGTATTTAATAAGGATATAATTGAAAAGGTACAAATTTTTTTAACAAATTAAAATTTCAATTAATATTTTTTTTATAACAGTGAATTAATTACCAATGTACTATATTTTGGCTCAAAGGGAGTATATAATTTTTTTCTGCCCCGAAACATTTTTTTATAATAAAGTCTTTTTATCTTTTTCCACCAAAACTACTTTTACTGTTGTAAAATATAAAATTTATAACAAATTGTATGCAATATTTATGGGCAAAAATGATATTACTTCAACACAAAGTAAATAAATAATACTAATTAATTAATTAATTCTCATATTAATAGTACCAAATTGATGAATTCTCTTTTTTTAATTTTTTTATGATCTATTGATGATTAGTAAACTCATGTTACTCACATTGTGTACACATTTAAAGCTTAAAATGGGACTAACATTGATTGCAGCAGGGACTTGTATGTATCACACTTTTTGAGTCTCATATAGGACTAGTCCTAAAGTAGGGATTCAGTGTTTGTGACATATTTAATATAGAGAGCTTGCAAACTCATGCATTAGGGGTAGATTGATTGGCTGTCCAAGTGTGAGAGGAATTGAACCCATGTGAAAAGTCCCACATTAAAAAAATTGAATTTAATAACTTATATAAATTAAAAATGAAAGACATGTAAATTGGAGCCTTGAGATTATGATGCCATAAATAGCAATTTGACACCAATAAATCAAATGAATAATTAAATGGATAGATGTGATTGGGTATGGAGAGATGTGTTTAGGAAAGATATGGAAAGGATACAAACCTCACTCGGATGTAAGATGCGTATGCAAACGGCCAAAAATAATAATTTCACAATATCGCTCAAACAAGCTCTAGAAAACTTATAAGTAGCGAACACCCTAACAGAAAAAATGCTTCTTAACCCAAAATTGATACAAGTTAAGTTAACAGGCAATATAAATATCGTTAATCAAGGAATAACATTGTAACGATTTTAATATTTGAGAGATAACATTGCTTCAATCAATAGTTGGTGTCTGGCCCAAAAAAAAATAATAATCGATGTGTAAAAATGTGCTTTAAGTCTTATAATTAACACCCATGGGGGCG